ACAATTTAAACAAGACCAATTATAGGCTTGATTTCACTCTGCAACTGTTATGTAGCTAAATTGCCCAAAATTTGCATTAAGAATTTTCCAGGACCAAGGGTTTATTAAAGTTTTATTGTTAATAGTCCATGAGGGCCATTTTATGACAGTTCTAGGGAGTTGAATATTTAAACATTCTTAGATCAGTTATTAGAAAATGTTAACTTCTATTGCCTATGAGGGAACACCTGCTAAAATAAAAAAAAATTATATACAATATTTTTTTTTTAATTATAAAAAGTAGTGTGTGAAGCATGTGGGGTTACAAATTTTTAAGCCACTTGCATTTAAACTATGTTCTGAACTGCATTTGTTTATGCTGCATGTGTGATTTTGTTTATCTATTTCCTTTGTCACACACAAAATATAATCCTATACAATTAATATATCAGTATAAAAGTCTCAAAAAAGTTCTCTCATGTAAACACATTTTTTTACCAAGAACTACAAAATGTACATTTTATGAAACATCACATCTTTTCAGTAATTAGATTTTATTCTTTTTAGGCTTGGTGTCTATTGCTGTGAGGCAGACAAATGTTATCTGGGTGGCTTTCTTTGCTGCTCAGACTGTAGCACAGATATTAAAGAGACAATTCTCAATACAGAAGAGGAAGGTAACCCCTAATACACAAAGGAATTTTCGCTATTTTGTTGTACGTAAATTCTTTAATTTTCATTTTATTTCCTTTTATTTTCACATTTTTAATATCACTTTATTTCCTTTTATACCCTATCGCAATTTCCTCCCATTTACAAATGCTGCTCTAAATCTGTGATAAAGCAACTGGAATATCTATCAACTCCATTGACCAAGATGATTTTTTGAATTCCAATATCTCCAATTTCTGAAAATTTGAACTTCGATATCCAATTTTTTTCAGTTTTGTTACCTTGTGCTGAAAGGCCAAACTGTTTTTTTCATTTTGATGAAGTGCCGTTTCTGTTTTTAAAAATTGCATGAAGAGAGAATTTTAATCTTTAGATACAGAGTTTTTTAATATTGTTGTCCATGCAGTATGGAGTGAACAAATACGCTTGACCCCAGCAGAATTTTAACTGCAGCAAGTGATGGCGTGGCTTGTCTTGCATGGGAAAACAAAGGTGCATGACGGGTGATGGGCCACAGTGATGCAAATACTAAATATAAGACCTAAAATAGGTTTGAGAGATGTATGTTGGGAACCACATGGTTAGTTTTGTGTTAATGCAAGTGTAATTACATTACACAAAAAATGGGAATATGCTATGTTCTATTGGCTGTACATTTGATTGTACTCTATTGGATAAAGTTCCATGAAACAATCAGCTGCTGTTTAAAGAAATGTACCTTTCTGGCACAATTTAAATTATTACAAATGCTTAAAAATTTGCTTAAAATAAAACATTATTGGACAAGTTTGTACAAGTCATGTATAAATACAAAGCAGACCTCAAATTCTGTTGCAAATTGAAAGAGAAATATCATTTAATTTCAAAACATTTTTCTTTTCTTTAAAGTTTCCCTTATCTTTTTTCCCGTTTAAAAGTCCTTGAGTATTTAAAATGAGTGGTTCTACAACAGAACACATTTTCTTGTAAATTGATAATGGTTGTGTAATATTTTGTTTCAACTTCTGTTCTGACACATCAGCCATTACTTCAAAAAACGTGAACAAAACATGGAAAGTTTAAACTAAAATTCACATCTTAACTTTTTTTAAAATTGAAATTAAAATGGCTTTCAGTTATTTAATTCAGTAAATAATGCTCTGTTCTTTCAAAAAGTTTTAAGAAAAAAATATTTGCCCTTGGCTGGGTGCATTCTTAGGTTACGAGACTACTGTTCCTCTTTGTTAAAGTGTTATGTTTGTAATGCTATATTGCACATGCTATTGCACATTGTATGTTTGAAATGCTTGAATGAAATCTAAGTATTGCTGTGATTCTAAGGTATTGCAACAACATAACTCAAAATTATGTGAAATCTGCTAAAACTAATACTAGTGGTGGTATCTAAATGTAACTTGTACATTAAATATTGTTCAAACAAATATTATTTTCCTTTCTGACACTCGGTATAGACTCTAATTGTATTGAAATGGTTATGCATCGGAAAAGATTTTACTTGGTTTCTAAACTCATGTATCAATTTTAATCGTTTAATTGTCATCTGGCAGTGAGTTGTAAAATAATGAACATATATTGTATGTGAATTTTTTTAATTTTATTTTTTTATTCTACACCTTATGTATGTGATTTCTATGTCGAGTATTATAGTTATAGACATCTGTATTGATATAATATGTTTCTTCCGTTTAGTAGGTAATTTGTAACAAAGTCCACTGATTCGTCAATCAAGAGACATGGTAGAATTTCTAACATAACAAAAAGAGAGAGCTTACAAGAATCATATTGGTGGGATTTACTTCTTATTTGTACAGTTCTTTTCTGAAATGTAAAAGTCTGGGAGTTATGTATAGCTCCAGAATATTATGCCATATCTCAGGTGGCAATGAACATTCTTAAACTTCACACAAGCAGCAACTTAATGGCTATCTGAATTTGAAAGAATTCTGAATGTGTAGCATAATTAACTTAATTTTGAATTTAATTTATTTTAAATGGATGTTCCATTTGTGGTTTCACTGAATAGAGAGACCCCCAAAATTTTGTTGCCTTAACGTCAGTGGCACGTCATTCATATTCAGTGGGGTGGACAGTTTGGACAGTTGTTGATTTGAAATGACTGCTGAACAATCGCCATGAATTGTGAAACTTAATCCTGCTTCTCGGAAATTGTGTATTTTTAGTGAGGTTAGTGTGTGTGTGTGTATGTGTTTGTGTGTGTTTGTTTGTGTGTGTGTGTGTGTGTGTGTGTGTTTGTGTTTAAGGGTAATTAACTCTTCAGAGACAAAAATGCAAAGTCTATGTGACAGTTGGTTCCATGTATTCTCTCTTTCATTGAAGAGAATACGGTAGTTTGATTAAAGATGCTAAATGTTAGGTGCTGTGACTGGGTTTTCTGGTAGTGTGTTCTGTGCGTCAATAATGCTGTTACCCAGAAAGTTAAAACTAGATCTAGAACTAATGTAAAAGTAAATCTCTGAATTTTTTAAAATTGCAAATGAATAGTGTTCAACATTTTTAAGTGTCAGAAAAGTTGAATTTTCACTGAGAGGCTATTGGTGTTGGAGTAACCATATGGTGTGTTAACTCTTAAGATCCTGACTTCGAACCCCAGCATGGAAATAATGTTTTTTCTGATTGGAAACACTCCTGTAGGTTTGTGTAGTATTATATTATGTAACCTTTACAAATAATCTCAGTATGTCCTTGTTCCAGCAGGGGTGGAAACCAGAATGGTAAGAGTGACATTCTATAAATTCTGAGAAAAGCATGTTTATTTTAGGCTATATGTCAGTGGCAATGTATTTTTATAATTTTAATGAATAATTGAAGTGCTGTGAGTTTAATGATGAAACCACGACTTTACAGTGATATTGACTTGAATAAACAGATTTCTCTGAATTGTCTGTTGCTGTCACTGATGCCATTCCGGTTTTCACCCATTCAATTGTAATGCATTTGTCTAATTTTTAACCAAGATGTAAAAGTAGTGTGGTATATGATTTAACAAAGTATGATCTAATATTTGACTGTGTTGGTAAGTAATAAAATTTACAATTAGATTGTAATTTCAGTGTTTTAATGTGAAATAATTAATCAACAAAAAAGTATGAATTTAAAAAAATTCAAATTGTTTCAGATGATATGGGAAATGTTGCGGCACATTTGGAAACGTGGTGTGAATACATTTTCGAACTTTGTTACTGCTCTTCTTCAAGAAATGTGGGGTTACATCATAGTGTGCTTTGGTTTCCTTGTTTTTATTTACATGAATGGTGGCATTGTAGTTGGTGACAAGTCTGCTCATGAAGCTGTTCTTCATTTTCCCCAGTTGCTATATTTTTCTCTGTTCACAACAACTTTTTGTTTGCCATACTTTATTACTGGAGTAGTGCCATTTATGAAGTTCATCATGACACACAAAAAGTTTATGGCTTGCAGTTTTCTCATTTGCTTTTTGATTATTTGGATGAACACTCATGTTCACCCTTATTTACTTGCAGATAACAGACATTTCACTTTTTATATATGGAAACGATTATATGAGAGACATTTTATGATTAAATATGCACTGATGCCAGTTTACTTCTTTGGAATTTTTAATATTTTTCGAATGTTAAGACACAATGACATAATTTTTCAGATCAGTTACGTGGCTTGCATAGCACTTTGTTTAGTGCCTCATAAATTACTGGAATTTCGGTACTTTATTATTCCGTATTTAATCATGAGACTGCAGATTACCCAGAAATATTGGTGGCAAGTTGTATGTGAATTCTTTTTGTATGGAACTATCAATGTAGTAACTTTGTATCTATTCTTAACTAAAGTGTTTTATTGGAGTGACTCGGATGAACCTCAAAGGTTTCTTTGGTAATGGAGAATTCTAGCAGTAGTCATGCATTTTGCTCAAATCAATCTTTATACATTGATAGATCATCAGTTACCTGAATTTGAAATTGTGTAAACTAAGTAGTGTACATGAGAAATTCTCAGGAATGTAATTGATTTTGTATGCAGACTGAAAGCAATGAATATTGTTTATCTTCAATATTCTGAAATAACTTTGTTTGTCATTTTTCAGGTTTAATAATTATCTCTTTGAAGTTGATTTGTGGTTGACAATACTTAGTATTACTCATAAAAATAGCATGTTTGGTTAGATAATTATAATAGTAAATTTGTTGAAAGGAGGTGCGCATTATTAAAAAACTGAAACAAAACTTAAAAATTTTAATTAGTATTTTCTATAATTTCTGTATCTTATTGTTGTGGAAGTAAGAGCTTTATATAGGAGGAAAATACATTTAATCAAGAAATTCATCAATGCGGTTTTACGTTTTGAAACATGACTGAACTAAGAATAATTATGCAAGAGTGTCTTGCTTGAAATACATATTTCACACTGTTTATCTATTGATTGAGAAAATGAGAGAATGTGTTTTTATTTAGGAGAGTTTTTAAAAGAATTTTATGCAGAAAATTGTACAAAAAACAAAAACAAAGCATGAACAGACACTGATGTGTGATGATTTATAGATAATTGATTGTATGATTGTTCTTGGATGAAGCATTTTAACTTTCATTCAATAATATTGAATGATATTAATTTCAATTCTCCCATTATATGGGTTGTATGGAATTACCGTTTGTGTTATTCCATATTCAATGAATTGATGTTTGTCAATGTAGCTGATGTGCATCCATTTATTGTTTATATGTTGAAATTGTTCGTGACACATAAATTATTGTTTTGGTACAAAAATAGCAAGTGTTTGTTTGAGATGTATTCAGTGTTAGTGTTCATTGTATTTATAGCTGCTTTTTATTTTAATGCATTTGTACAGTGTAGTCCAATTATGTGTTTGTGTTTTTAAATGGTGTGCAGTTTTGTTCTGTTATGTACATATTATGTGTTCTAGTCACTGAAAACTGTAGTCATTCAGTTGTTTTTATTTTGAGAAAAAGGGAGATACTGTTATATATGTAGTTTATAGATGAAAGCAAGTGGTTTATAGGAGTATTTGAAGAATGATGTTATGTTTTTTTGTGCCAACAATTTTGGCATATGCCTGTTGTGATATAAAAGTAGTGTACGTATTCTGAATTAGAATGTGTTGAGGAGAATTTCTGACATTTCTAAAACAAACGAAAATAACTGTACTACAGCTAATGTAATAGGCCTTCTAATGTAACTTCATGATACAAAGAGCTATTTAATAGACAACAAAATTATTTCATTTGACAAGTTCATGTTGTTCCTTTAGTTTCAGGAGCAAGGAAAAAAGTTTGCTATGAGAATTTTTTGCATTTAGCCATCATTCCTACTTAGAGATTGTTGTCGGTGCTTATGATAATTTACTAAAAAATTTGTTTAATACTTTCTTCATGAGTCTTGATGAGTTGTGTTAATTTTGTAATGCGGAAAGCTTTTTTTGGTAGTTGTGGGTTTTCACTTTTGTGTTTTAAAATAGTCCTTTTGTTTTCATAATTTGTCTTTAGCCATTCATGTTAACGTTTTGTTTAGATCTCATAAAATTGACTCCATACATTTATTGAAATGTCATGATATGAACTAGTGGAAAGGTAGCCTTAATATTTTGTAGTATTTTTACAACCTCTGCTTCTAATTTAATTTGCAACATACACAATTCTAAGACTTGTGAATCTACAATGATTTATTTTCTATGTTTCATTGTACTATCTACAGTGTAGTAACTTTGTGGTTTAGTTATTTGGTTAACTCATCAGCAGACAAAACACATTTTGATGTCAATAGTTGCATCAGACTGAGAGTTTGCACATTACCAGAAGTGGATCTAAGTGTAGTAGATTATTCAATGAAAGGAATCTGCCTAGAAAAAGCTCTGAAATGTCAGGGAAGGCCAATCTTGTAATGTACATATATGTAGTGTTTCAAAATTTATGTACCAAATTTTTTTAATTTTGTTGAAAAATGTTTAACAAATGAAACACGAATTAAAAAGGTGTACAAAAACAAAACACTGCATTTATAAGTTTACATATTTCATTCACATTACTTGTATAGCCATTCTCTTTCCTAAATATCCTGAGCAAACAATATGGTTGTAGTCGTGTCAGACTAGGAGTCTGCAATCACTAATAACTTGGTTACTACTGCACTGGTCATACAAAAATTGAAGTGATTTCAAACAACTGTTTGTAGTAAGGTACTGAAGTGACATATTTTGTAAGGTCAAAGAGATTAAGAGAAAATAAAATATTAAATTCATGAGGACCGAGAGAATGAGCAACTACTGCCGTACAATTACTAATGCGAGTTAAGAAAGTGTAATTAGTAAATTCTTGCAGTTGTGTGTTACATAGGTTGGCCAATTTCCTGCATATATCTATTGTTTTGGTGAGCATTGTACTTTGCATTTGCCATTGTTTTCATCTTACTATACTCACAACCTATTAAAGAATTGAATGAATTGAAGAAATATTGGGCAATATTCTGCTCTAAAAGCGTGTTAGAAAGGTTTTTGAAGGTTTGGCTTATTTTTGCAGAATAATTTTTTGTATATATTACTAGTTTTGCTTTGTGTACAATTTATTTTCATAAAATTCTTAAAATTGTTTCTGCACTTCTATTAGCTGTTGGTAATGGAGAAGTTTTTTATTATTTACTTGGATTATTATTTGTATTCTGCCCCAAGAAGTTTCAATCTACAATGAATGCAAGATGAATAACAAATATTTTTCTATCTTTATTTTACTTGCATTATCATTGTGATACTTATGCAACTTGTATGTGTGTGTGTTTAGTCTTCTAAGTCTATCAATTTACAAACCAAAGTAATTCATAATTGAAGTTAATTGGTTTTTGTAATTATAAAACTTCAACATAAGTTACAATTTGCTGATGTGTAAGGTCATAAGGACTTGTTATTGCGGGGTGGAATGAAGAAAGTATAGTTCCAACAGTCACTCAAAATGTGAAAGTACATTCATTCATAAACTCATTTAAATGTTACAAAATAATTGTTGCAAAAGGTTCACGAGTAAGTAGGTGAAAATTAATTACTTTCCTTGGTATATAACTAGTCAACAAGAATTTTGGTTCTCAAAAGCAAAAATGTGGTCTAAACAGAATTTTATTTCTCTGGAGCTTGAATGTAGTCCATTTTCTGTTATCACATACGGATCAGTATAAATTTTCAAATTATATTTTTGAATATTAGGTGTTAGGAATAGGGACTGGTTCCTGTTAACTCTGTTCATTCATTTGTCACCCTCTTTGGTACAACTTTCATGTGACCCCACTAAGTCATCAACATTGTCAATGTTTCAGTCATTTAACAAAATTTAGCAGTTAAAAGCTACTCTGACTGAATAACGGCTTTCTGCATTATTGTGAACTATTTGGTGCTCGTATTCATTGAATGGGCTGATAGAGACATGTCACAGAATATACAAATGCATTTAGTATTTCATCATGTTGGAATCTAAAAGTAATATTCTTTTGTAAATGCAGCTAGATTCCACAAAATATTGCTTGCATTTTCGTGAAAAGAAATCGAGCTAGATGTAAACATTACATTGTTTTTATTGGCTTATAAGACACCTGAAAGCTGAGCACAGTTAGTGCTACAACAGCACTTTTTATTACATTAGTTGTTGCAAAACTTTTGCCCACTCTGAGATTTAAACTAAAGAATATTAGGATTCTATGGCCAACACAATAACTATTTTTCCACCTTGTCATTCAACAGTTCAAATGCCAAAATCTAAGCATAAAAAGGTTTAAAATGTCATAGGAGCTTCTTGTAAAGCCCCCCCAAAAATTAAAATTTCAAATTTACAGGTCCCCAAGTGCAGCCAGACTGGTTAGGGAATATCTTATTTTGGTCAAAATTCTTCAATTTAAATGCTAGTGTTGTTCACCAACGGATGGACAACCAAATCAAGGTTTTGGGAAACAATACGAGAGACCTCTAAACATGTCTTTCGGTGAAAATTTGAAATCAATTTTTACAAATCAATTCATAACATTCTCTATACTACAAATGTCCATAGCATATGAGAAAGTTTAAATATGTGAAATTTCTTGTTTTTGAGGGTAATTTATGAAACTAGTGGGCTGTAGCAGCAAATAATTTGGGTGAACAATACCACAAAATGGTTTTACAAAAAGTAGGATGCACACTGCTTAAGAACAACAAATACGTCTTCACGAATACTGCAATTACATAATGTATATTTATAGTACACTTCTTTGCAAACATCAAAAATGTTGCTCTACAATAACAACGCAAATAACAAATATTTAATACCTGGCAGTCTCTCTGTTGGAGCCTTGCTGTTGTATGATGTCTGCTGTGTTGTAAACAATGATACATTAAGTATGAGAATAGGCGGAGTTACACAAATATTTGCATTTTTGGCAAAAACAAAACTGTTCATTGGTTTTGTATTAGCCTCCCATGTGTTATAATGAAACCATAAACACGTTTATCACAGCTGGAGGCTGAATGGTTTTCTTTCAATTTCTGTGCAGATTGGAAATTATAGGTATTATAGAGTTTATAGTGCAATTTTTTGCATACACTGTCAATAGGTGCATATTTTGGCATTTTTGACTCTTCAAAGTCTGTCATTTTATTCATTTCTTTAGCTGCTGATTGCTAAGGTAAGCAACTCTTTTTCAAATTGGTTGTGAGAGTACTGTGTAACAATGTGGGGTGCTGGGCATAGGCAGTATTTTTTAACAAAGAGCATTGTTGAATGGCAGGAAATTATCAGCTCAGTTAACCGTATCACAAAAATTGATAGCTTATGTACTGTGGGAACAACAATTGTATGCATTGCGTGCAGAGTATTGCTAGCAGTAGCAGTGGGGAGTTTTACCTAGACACTGAAGAATAAATTTTGCAAAAGCATTTTTGTACGGAAATTCATTCATGGGGACACCACTGCAATCTCACGGAAATAACGGTTGTTTTTATCAGTTGTGTAACAAATATGTAGGCTAGTAGAATGTAAATAAATCTAAAGGAAAATGTTTTTCATTGAAATGGGTTTTAAATTCTTTCCGTTGTATGCATGTTTGACTAAAGGACTTGT